CCCTCACCTAAAGTTTAAGCCAAGAAAATACTCGGGGAGATTACAGATATTTTAAATTTAAAAAAAAAAAGATAAATCTGGAATTTGTAAGCAAATTAATGTTGTCTGGCGAGATGGTTGTCAAAGCAGTGACTTTTGCTTTTAATGTGAGTTTTGTGTATATGGAGTTTGTTTGCATCAAAAACCGTTGAAGAAAGGTGGTGGAAATTTCTTCCCCAGGTGCCCATCCCTCGTGCTCCCATTGAAAGAGGCTTAGAGGAGCTTGAAAGGTGTGTTTTGTGAAGGGGGCGATTCAACTGGTGCTTCAGTTTCTAGTTCAGGAATTAAAGGAGGTGACTGGATTATTCCATCAAAAATGGCATCATAAAGTTTTAAAGTTGCTCAGAAGAAGCATTGAATTCCAGTTACGTGTACAAATTTCTTCAGTGAAAACCATCCTACCAGAAATTTCCAGGAACAGGTGGTTTGTAGGGAAGAATTAAGATTTGCATTAAAATTTCAAAAAGAAATCATTGTATAATTTCAATCATTAAACAAATTAGTTATAATTGCATTTAAAGTACTGCTTGTTTTCTGCTGGTTTTGTTCTTCAATAGATAGTTTGAATCTCTCCTAGTTTAGTTATTGCTTGGTATGGTGTACAAGTACTTAATGATACACCGAGCAAGCTAGAATTACTGTGCTAAGTATTTTCCTATGTGCAGTGGTATCTGGTTTTAGCTGCAAGGTAGAATTTAGTCTGGAAGCTGGGGGGAAAAAATGGAGAGAAATGGAAACTTGTGAATTTAGGACAAAGTTAAAACAATATGGGGGGAAGATGAAACTCTTGAGATTTGCTAGGAAATTAAAGTTAAAATCATCTGGTTCCTTCTGCTCTGGAGTTGTTGATTTATGTTGCTACCAGTGGGGCTGACAAGTGCAGACTTTTAAAATAGCAGAAGATTTCCTGAGAGGTCAGTGTGTTTTCTTTGTTATGAAATGGAAGGCAAGAAGAGTTAAAATAAAACCACGGGGAGAGAAAAAGGACTTTTCCATGGTGGAAACGTAGGAGAGGTGCATGGGAGGCAGGCAGGGACTGGTCCCTGATGTGAGCGTAGCAGGCTCTGCCAGAAGCAGTCATTTTTGGGAGGTCTTCTGGGAAGGAGGTCCTGGTTTTTGTGTGCAGGCACTTGGAGGGGGGGGGGGTGTGTGAGAACTCCTTGTCTAGGATTGTCATGCAGGGAGAGAGGAAGGAATTGGGGCTGGGAGGATCACTCATCATTACTGCGTGGTGAAGGACATCCCAGCACCATCTGCCTTGCAGGTTGGCCAGCGCTGTCCTTTTCTTATGCAAAAAGGTTTCTGCATTAAGTCACTTCAAGTTTCAGATTAAATGTCTGGAGGAAGATGTCTCTGAGAGTCAGGAAATACATCCATGTGTCCCCAGAAAGAGCAGTCAAAACTGTCTGCTGCTTGCAGCTCCAGCTGGTGTCCTGAAGCCCTCTTTGGACACTGCAGTCTGCTCGGTTTCACAGGCAAACAGAAAATCCTTTGGGATTCAGTTTTTGGTGCCTGGGGATGTGCTTCCATGATTCATTCTGTGTCTGAGCTGCAGATAAAAACATTCAGGCTTCTGCATGGAAAAATAGCTCGTTCTCTCCTGGCGTTTTTACAAAAACTTTGTTCCCAGAGGCTGTTTCCTATTCTCTTCTGCCATCTGAACACCGCTGCATCCTCTGCTCCTGCCACAAAGGCTTGGGATGCCCAAAATCGATGGGCTATAATCAGTGTGGGCAAGGCAGAAAGTGCCTGGGGGTTTTATCGTCTTCTGTGGCCTGTGATCCTGTCACTGGACATCTCTCAGCAAACAGAGGCGAGGGGAAGAAGGGAGGAATAGTTTTGTTGCATAGGACACACAAGACATTGCAGATTTCTTTGCACTGGTGCATTCCTCAGCCCCTGATGTTCGGGTGCTTTTGTAATGATATTTTCTCTGCAGCCCTTAATGTCTGTACCTAGGTGCTCGTCCCAAATAAATAAGAGCAGAATTCAGTCGTTGAGGAGGGATCCCAGTGCTCACTCCTGAGCTATGGGGTTTGCGTCTTGAGTATCTGTGGACCACCCAGTTTCCTGCGAGCACGCAGTAAACCTCCCTCAAATCCTGTCTGGGCTCGTTTTGGCATAGGGAATACTTGTATGTAGTAGTGGTTTCCTTTGTTTGTATTTTGATGATGATTATTATTCTTGAATTAGGACTACTGAGATATAAATACACAGTTCCTAATGTTTTGGTTTGTACATAATCAGGTATATCTGAAACAGCACCTTAAACCTCAGTGTTACTCTCTCATTACTTTTTTTTAATAGAGAAAACCAGACATTTTCAATACTTGGCAAAGTCACAGGGCAGAGGAGAGAGCTGGCTGGGTAATGGGAAAAATACTCAAATCTTTTTTGAAAAAATGCCAATGTCTATAATGCATTTTCAGTGAATGACTCAATTGGTTCTATTAAAGGAAAAAATATAATGTTAATTCTACCTAATATAGTATATTCTAGTACCGATCAACTGATAGGCTTGAACCTCCTCATATTTTGCTTTCTTAGTGCTAAATATTGAACAGGATATTTAGTTATTGATTTCCATTAGTGGATATCAGTATAAATCAGAAGTAGTTCCCTTAAATTTGATGGAGATGCATTGATTTAGGAGTAAGGAGGATCAGGCTCAATATGATGAGGAAGGAGTTAGGTGCAAGCCAGTCAGAAGGAGGCAGAATTTGATTTTATATCTAAAATGGGTCGTTCCTTCATTTGTGTGGACTTGAGCACATTTGCATTTGTCCTCCTCTGGGTGTTCAGGCTCAAGGTTTGCCTTTAATAAAATGTAAAGTAGTGCAGTGTAAAAGAGACTTTGTTTTGTCTAGAGAGAAAAGAATATTGACGTGATGCTTATCACAGTCATAATGTGATATTTATTGACTTTACAGCTCTTTTAAGACTTAAAAAGTATGTATATATAAGAAAAATAGCCTGTAAAACTGCACAGAGGTGGGTGGGGATGTCCAAGCAGGCGATGTGCACTGAGGTCTCCCTGAGACCTGACTCTGGTAGAGCATGAGGTCTCCTTCACCTCTTCTGGGAGACTCCTGCTCATTTTTCCCCTCTCAGCTCTTCTCTGCTCCTACCCTGTCGCCCCAGCAAAAGCTGCTGACTGGGGAAGGTCACGGCATCCTCGCTGCTGGGGGATGTTAAGGTCGTGATGGATTAGGACCTCTCAGGTTATAGTTGAGCCTGACTTGGAGCAGCAGTAAGGGACAAGCTGACCTGTCAAAGGCCTTTCCAACCCCATTCTGTCATCGCAGAAGCATGGAGGAGGACAAAAGCTAAGGAAGAAAAATGTGCTGTAGGAAGCAGCTGACAGGTCTGGGGGAGCAGAGCGATGACTCTGCAGTGAGGTGAGCGGAGGTGCTGGCAGGGGCCCCTCCATTGGGGGTGCAGCCAGACCGGTGAGGAGCATCAGCCAACGATTGCAAATAACAAGTCCCATGATCTCAGCGAGAAAGGGAAGAAGACGTGGGTCAGTAGACAAAACAACATGTCAGGTCAAGGGTAGGAGAATTTTGGGTTTTCTTTCTTTAAAAAAAAAAAAAAAAAGGGGGGGGGGGGAAGCATCACATGAGAGAAAGGACTGAGAATCCGGCAAGGGACTGCAAAAATGGAGCCAGGACCATGGAGGAGATTTGAAGATGGGTCAGAAGCAAAAAGTAAATAGTAAAAATTTCCTATTTGATAGAGAGAGGGAAAAGGAAATACTTTGAGGAGAGAAAAGGAAAACCAGACAGGAGAAATAGTTGATATGTAAAATCAAAATGATCTATTTCAGTAACACTTTTTCTTCACAACGTAACACGTGAGATCCTGTGTATTCTGGCAGGTCTGAGGGGAAACAACCTGTAGATTTTGTAACATGGGACATAGGATCATAGAGTGGTTTGGGTTGGAAGGTCCCTTAAAGCCCCCCCAGTCCAACCCCTCCCATGGACAGGGACACCTCCCACCAGCCCAGGCTGCTCAAAGCCCCGTCCGACCTGGCCTGCCCAGGTGAGATTTGGTTGTGTTTGACAAATGGAGATGTTTTGGCTGGGAGGAACAGCAGAGCTGCTGGAGGAGAGAGAAAAACAGCTTCCAGAATCTACCAGCTGTAGGCAGAAGTGATGGGAAGCTTATGTTGGATGAGCCAGGGGTTGTGGATAGTAGATTTTAGAGTCAAAATGTTGGACAACATAACCTGAGTGAGGAAGAGTAAAGCAAGAGGCAGACAGGGGAGAAGGCTGAGAGCAGCTTGGTCATCTTAGCTGAAAGACTGGAAGTCACGGAAAGGTTGAGGGACAGGGTGAGGTGATCAGGACTGATGTCAAAATAAACCATGTGATGTGTCTTAGTGTTAGAATGGGGGTTTCTAACCTCATCGTCATTGCAGTTAATGCAAACACAGGGCATTCATTCTCATTCTCACCATGACCTGAACACTTCCCTAGCCCTCATTTCCACATTATCAGAGTGCCATACTCTCTGTAAGGTAACTGTCTTACAGCAGTATGTGTGGTAAGGGATTGCTGTTCTACAGGTAGTGAACCAAGGCATGAAGCAGAGCAATATCTTGCCTGCAGTCCTGCTAAAAATGGAAGTGAGAACTGAAGCCAGGTTTCTTCGGTCCTTGACTAGTAGCTTAAATGCTGGCTCATCCTCTCTCTGTACTCCTGCCTTGGGCAGGAGCCACCTTGAAATCATACTTTCCATGGAGAAATAATTTTTTTGGCGTATTTTAATGGTTTGTTTAGCGATGCTTAAAAAAAATGTCATAAGATACTTTTGAGGTTTTTATTATTTGGACAGAATTAAGCCTATTAAGCCATAATGATATATCTGCTGGTGGATGCAGAGTGACGTTACAGAAGAGGCAAATGAGATGTTAGTGAGAGTGGCCTGTCTTTGATTTGCTCTGGTCTTTTTTTCAGATAAACCGTGAAAGCTGGTGTTCGCTGGAGCCATGTCCTGATTCCTCCCTGCTGGAACGCAAGCAGACGCGGGAGTCTCCAGGTGAGCAGACTGGGGCTCCGGATGAGCAGCCCTGCGGTTCTCTTCAACTTTTCTTTCCTTCTTTTTCATATTTTTTTTGACATCCTAAGCTCGGCAGGGAAAATACATAAACTGAAGAAAATCTGTAGTGAATCTGCTGTGAGTCACTGTTAGCACATGGTCATAGCACTTGACTTGCAGTGAGCTGTGTGGTGTGTCACCTTCTTAAGTCATTATGTGTTTAAAGAACAGCAGTATTTTGATTTTTTTTGTTTGTTTGTTTTAATTAACGTGAAAGGGGTGGTGGGTGACACAGACAGAGTTTCTAGCTGAAACGATAATACACTAGGAAAAAAAAGACAGAAATTTAAACTCCTGAATCCATATTTAGGTCCAATTCAGCGGCTTGTTTGTTTTTTTTTCCCTCTGAAAGTTGCCATGATTTCCAGGCTTTGGGAAGCAGGAAGATTGTTCAGAGATGTCGTTCCCACACCCTGCCCACCAGCCCTGCGTGCTGGCTGGTGCTTTCTGACTCTTCACAGGGACAGAAAATCTTGTCTGGGCAAGTTTGAAAGAGGGGTTGGTGTCCAAGATAAGAAAAAAGCATTTCCTTTAATTGAATTATGCATGTTCGAAACAAATAGAGTAATTTATCCAGGCCCAAAATAGTGTCTGTGCTCGGGCTGTTCGTAGAGAGGACAATTATTGCCTTGCTGTCATTACAAGCAGGGGTCTCAGCTGAATCCCCTTCAATTTATCAGAGAGTCTTGAAAGAAAATCGGGTTTGAATGTGACTGTCGATGTGAAATTCAAACCCAGTTTTTTAAGGGCATAGGCTAAGAAGGGATAATGTGGGTGACTGACCCGAGGGGTTTGTTCTCGGTAGAAGCTATAGCTCTCATCAAAGTTAGATAAGTGGGGTTTTATTAAAAAAAAAAAAGGTGTTCTGTTTAGAACAGCCACGGACAGTGAAGAGCTGTTTCAAGATTGTTTTACAGGAGAAGCTATGGTATCACCATGCTGCTTCTTTCCTAATTGTGTCCCCAAATCCCTTGCCTCTTGGTATGATATTTTTGCATTTCACGCAAGAGCTACCGTGCTCCATTTGGCTGCAAAATGACGTGTGGTCATTTGACTTGCCAAATGTATAATCATGTATTCATATGGATCAATACTAGTTAGATACTTATTAATTACCTAAAGCAATATCATACTATAGAAATATAATATGTAATTGAGTAGTCATGTGTCCAAGTATATGTTCATAACTATAGTAATGCATCTGTAGCACAAACACGAAGACAATTGATTAATTGTGCTTTCTGGTTGGACTGAAGCAGCAGGAAGATTTTGGACTCTGCAGGTTCTGGCCTTTCTAGTAATAATATTGCCACTGCACACACATCTTTCTGTGGTGTACAGTGGTGCTGGACAGTGTAGAGAGAGGGCAGGAAAAATCTAGCAACACCTAACAGCAATAAAACCACTAGCTGTTGTAATACACAACTTAAGAATACACAGCTTGATGGGAAATAAGGTCCTTTTCACCTGCTAAATAATCCTG